TATATATATATATATATATATATATATATGATAATGCACCGTTTATTTTTAAAATTTCTACAGCTATTTTAGTTAGGATCAAAAATAAATCTAAGTAATTATTTCGAAACTATTATTTCTCTATATAGCATAAAATCATAATGGTCTGATACCGTTTTCCATTGTTGTCGGCTCATTTTTATTGGCCGGAAAATCACGTGGTAGGATCCAGTTTTCCGCCATTCATTTCCATATTGTTTAGGTTGTCATCAGCATAAAATTAATAAAAGTCGTAAAGGTATTGTTTTCCTTTAAAGTTATTTTTCAGTACTGCTATTATAAGCGAAAATTTTAAATTATGGTTGAGAACTCATCAAATTTGTTTGAACAATATAATGTATTAAGAATATAAATGTCACTTAAAAAAATTATAATTAAAAAATCACTTCTGTTCACCAAGAGATCTAAATGTTTATAATAATAATAGATAGTAATATTTGGACGTGGGAAGTAGATCCGCAAGAGCGTAAGTAAACAGAATTCCTTTCAGTACATAGATGTTAAGTGAATATTGCGAAGCAATAACAAAAAACAAATATTGCGAAGCAATCATTGGGGTTGGTGAGCGGTAGCGAACAGGAGGCTTTGCCCCCTATTATATTGATAAAAATATGAAATCATTCTAAATAAACGTATAAACTATTTAACACTACTTAAATTATTACTTAAGACAACCTAACAAAACGAATAATAACTATAGTGTTGCCAATAGACAGAGAAATGCTAGAGTTCATGATTAATTAGAGCTAGAGAAATATCTAATATATTATTCACGCATCATCAATAAATTTAAGTAAGCTCGTATCATTAATGATTAATCTTAAGTTGAAATAATTCCACTTACCTACAACGTCATTAATTGTGATATAAATGCTTACCACTTTGGAAATAAAAAGCTTTATATACTGCAGTTTAATATCCGAAAGAATACGAGGGTGGCAACAGGAAGTAGATCTTTCCTTCTCATCTTTTGCTCCTCCTTACACTCCCTATATGTTAACACGGAAAGCAAAACAAGCTAAAAGCTGAACTTTCGTTTTCACACATTAAACACAAAAAAAGTTATGGTCAATGATCCGTTATCACTTGCGGAAAACAATCGTTTGCTTTTCTGACTATTTATACAGAGAAGTTAAAGAAATTGTATTGACTAGGAAAGAATAAACAAGGTTGATTTTATAACGAAAAAAAAATCGTTTGCTATTTACGTGGATGTGAGGTTTAGGCATAAAAAAAATTGTTTGCGGATTTCTCTTAAACAATAGCTTTCATTGAGCAACCAAATTTAATTAAAATTTTAATTTATTTCTAATATAAGAAATCAATCGAGCATTAAATTTTGTTATTTATCGTCTATATTTGGAATTAATACATTTTTTCTACACAATCTGACAATTGCGCGATGACATATGAAAAGCTGATAAGAACTTATAGAATTATTTTCAATCTCTGGAAAATTTTTACTTACAATACTTAAAAAGAAGTTTGGAAAAAAAGAATAAATTAAAGTTTTTTTAGGTTTAACAAAAGAGGTATGCATTTGAATGAAATAACCATTAAAAATTGAGAATTAAAGTACGAAAAAAAGAAGATCAAATTCTTTTCAAAAATTGGTTTTAATGTCTGAAAAATTTCTTTTCCTTTTAAAAAATGGCGAATCTCATAACATTATATCTTTTTATTTTCCTTAACAGACTTGTTTATCGATATTTTGGAAAAATTGTTGCATTGAAGTAAAGTACTTACTTTTTTTGTGAAAAATATATAGGTATATATTTTTACATTAAGCTGAAAATAGTGTTTACTGAAAATTACGCCTGCTACCAAACATTTGCAATTTTTTAACTAAAGCTTTTGCTAAAGCTCAAAATAAAGCATTCAGACATTATTTTTAATAAAACTGAAAAAATGTGTAGTTATTTATTACAAAACACAATTTTTCTCACGTCTTGTGATAAACAAAATTTCTTAAAAATAATATTAGAAAAAAAAAGAAAAAAGTATCATCCAAATATACAGCATTAGGATATTACTTCTTCTTCTCTTTTTTCCTATTTTTTCTTGAATTGGTTTTTTTTATTATTTTTACATATTATACATAGATGGTATAGTTAATGTTTCAAGTAATATTTTTCTTCTTCATAAAGTACATGCGTACAGCGTGGTACTTAATTATTAGCTTTTTATGTCATTATAGTTGGGATTGTTTCGTAATTGATGAGAAAAGAGCTTTTTTTAGAGAGATTGCTTTTATTATGACATCAATCATTAAATGCTTCAGTTATTCTTTGTGAAAAACAATCAGCTAAAATTAGATTAAAATATCTCTACCCTACAAACATTCCGTCCAATTCACAAAATTGTTATTTAAATTAAAAGGAAACTTTAAAATACTTCTCTTAGAAAATGCTTTTTTTTTAAACTTCTTTTTCAAGTACAAAATTAGTTCTAATAAAACAACCAAAAAAATTTAACGTATGAGGAAATTTTATTTAAAAAAACATTTAAAAACACTTATTTCTGTTTAAACAATGTCTAGATCTTGATGTTAATATCTTCATTCCTTCAAATGAAAAGTTTGTTACCTAATGAGGTATTTCCTGTTTTTATTTCTACGATATGACGCATTTTTAGGATAAAGATTTCAGTTAAGAAATTAAATTAGAGGCAATAAAAAAATTTAAATAAGGAAATACTGAAGTTAGCTGTTTAGGATAGTAAGAATTATAATAAGAATTACAACCCTAGTATCTCGAATTTAAAAAAATGTGTACAGGAAATTTAAAAACTCAAGTAAAAGTATCTAAACAAGAAGATATTTATGAAAAATATTAAATCTTTTTAGCAGTATATATTTTTTTGAACGATTATGTTTATTGTAGTGTTTTTTGACCACTACAGTTTTGGTTTACGTGTGTTCCAATATAAAACAAAATCTTACAACTAGACAACTAAAATGATACAAAATCTTCCTAAATATTCTACTTTATTATACAAATGTCTAAAACTATCTAAACAAGAAAATATATAAGGAAAAAAAGTTTTCATTTTTTTTTGCTTAATTATGTCTATAGTGTTTATTAATTTTTTTTGACCACTACATTTTTGATTTTCTTGCGTTCTAATGTAATAAAATTCCATAACTAAGGAACTAAAATGTTACAAAATCGTCTTAACTACTTTAATTTTTTAGACAAATTTTTACTAATTTTACGTGTCATATTTATTTTCTACGATGAAAACTTCGTCATAATTTGGTGTTTAAATATTATTTTATTTTCACTCATATGGGTGATTATTAGGAAACATGACAATTCGGACCAAGGAACTTCTTCAAATTTAAAGTCTTCAAAGCAATCTAAATTTTTTTTGCATATTTATTTAGTTACATTTATTAATATTTTACAGACAGCAGTGTAGTTTATTGACATTTGCTCAAGAAAAAAGTAAAATGGAAATTCACCGCATTTTGAATGCCAGGAAAGTGACATATTAGCTGAGAAGTTTGAAGAAACAGTCATTTTAAGCTATTAGTAAGTAACAAAACCTAAGCCTTTATGTTAGATGGACCATGAATTACTTAAATTAATTCTTTTATCTACTGCAGAAAGAATAAAAAAAAATTTGGTGCTGATATGTACAGAATAAAATTGTGTAAAATAATCAATCATTAAATAAATAAATAACTTTGATTACATTCAATCTTATTACAATCATACATAAACGTGATATTAGGTTAATATTTGCTTTTCCTCTTTGCAGTATTAGCAGTTTAAAAACATTTCTAGTAACACCTCAATGTCCTGGCATTCATAAGCCAGGAAAATGAAAAATTCGCCATTTTATAGCATATAACTTTACTTTAATTTAATATTTTGGCCTAAGACGTTTATATTCAGCAGAAAACAACAGTATTTCTAAAATAACTCAGATAAATCTATGTAGTTTAAGTTAGTAATGATTTTAAGAAGCCAGGAAAATGACAACACAAAATCTACTCACCTAAAAAAAAATTTTGAAATAGATTTTGAACAAGAAAGTTGGTTCTTGCAACAAGCAACAGACCTTGATGCAACAAGACATGTTTAGATAGGAGGGTATCTAATCAATCTATTAACATAAGATGGTTATAAATCACTAAATAAAAGTAGCCAGGAAAATGGCAGATTTTCTTGTGACAAGCAAATTATTGACAGAAAAAATTACTTTAAACGAAGTTTTTGTAAATAATACCCTCTGCATATATTCTAGAAATGCTTACACCGGTTGAGATAAAAAAAATTAGGTATTGAAAAATTTATGGTAAGTTTTGAAGCTAGTTATTATTGGAAACATTGTTTGTGTATGCCAGAAACATTAAATTTTGAAGTTCAATTTAATTTTTTAAATATACAAAATAGTCGATGCTAGTACTAAGTTATTCTAAGATGCTAACAGCAATGCTATTTATTAAATTTTTAAAAAAAATTATTTTAGTAGTTTAAACAAACAAACAAACAAATATAACTTTATTGGGAACAAAAACAAACACATAAATACAAAGAATATATATTCGTCACCAACAGGAAAACCCTGTCCAGGCGACAAAGAAAGGTAATGCAATAAATTTAAAATAGAAAATTTTTTTTTAAAAAAAGAGGGGATATTACAATCATAAGTTATTTTGCTCATCATAAGACATCATATATTGCTGAACACTGTAATAATAGGGGGGGAAATATATGAAACTATTAAAAAAAATAGCAAAAGTAACATGGTAACATAAGAAATTCATTTGGATTGGCACAAGACTCGTATGAAAAATCAATGCTTCCTTTAAAGTGAAAAAATAGTGATCCAAATCGTCAATGTTTATCACAAATTGAAATAAAGCACGCTTAAAAGAAGAATATATTTCGATGTTTTGCAACTGAAATGGTAATTTATTATATAATTTAGGTGCTAAGTAAAAAAACTGTTTTCGGGAAATTTCTTTTGTGAAGTGGGGAATCTCATATATTTCAGTTGGTCTCCTTTCAGACACATTAGTTTTTAATTTGCATATTAATTTATTGTTGTGTAAATAAAGTAAAATACGAAAAAATACATTATGGTGAAATGGTAATAGGTTCATTCTTGTATATATATTGGTAGTAGTTGTACATGAATTATTTATATTTGGAGAATTAGTAATCTTGAAGCATTTATTCTGAACTGAGATTAAGGGAAATAAATAAAATTTATATTCACCGCCATATATTATTACACCATAATTAATTAAAGAATAAGACCAGGAGTATTAGAGTGCTTTCACAAAATTAAAATGAATTTTATTCTTAAAGTGATAAAATTTAACTGAAACAAAACGCAATTTTTTAACTAAATTGTTAATATGTGTTTTCCATTTCAAATTAGAATCAATATGTAGTCCTAAATATTTGATATTATTTACAGATTGTAGAATGTAGCATTGATAATTTTCATTAGTACTTTTACAGGAGAGTATATATATATATATATATANTCAGAATAAATATATATCAGAATATATATATATATATATAAAAGGAAGAAAGGTTTAAATCCATGTTGTATTTTAACGACGAAAGACAATAGTAAATTGTACACTGACAGATCGGAGTTGAGGTGATATTTACATCAAACTGTTTCTTGTTATTGTTTCAGGAAAAGTATTTTACAAGCTTCTGCAATCTCCTTTAAAAAACTTTACAATCCCTAAAAGTACATTTTGATGTACTTCCGGACTAAAAATATCAAATTATCATAGAAATTATTGTTATAAGATGCGTATGTTGCGTTTTGTGCTCTAATACATTGTTAGACATTTCTTGGAAAAAACGATTAAATAACAATTTACTTAATTGTTATTTTAACATATTTAACAGAATCAGTAAAATAACCAAAAGAAGATGGTATTCAAACCATTTAATGTGAGAAAAATAGTTCACTGACTGTTTTTACTTAATGAAGTTAAACAACCAGAATTTTAGTTCGGAACTAAACCCATAGCCAATGGGAATCGAGCGCATGTTCTTCAAAATATGAGAGCTAAGTCTTGTGATAAGAATTACTAATTCATTTTTTCTTATTTTCCATCATCGGATGTCTAACACAAATGTGGATAACTTATTATCTTATAGTAATAAGTGTGTGATGAGCTTTAGAAATCACTTAGTACTCGAAGCTATGTACGCATCTTAGCCGAAAGAGCTAACCTGTCAATCTCATGAACTGTTGTTCGAATACCAGCGTTAATACCATAATATTTCCTCCATTCCTTCATTACCAGTAAAGTTTCCTGTGCTCTGCGCTCAATTCGAGACCAGACGTTTCAGTGCTCAATTGGAGACTCTGGACTATTTGAACATGAAACTCTCATTCACTCAAAGATGGCAGCCCCTCAGAGCTACTTAACTTAAAATAAGTCTAATATTTTCCCTCTTTCGTAATATAAGATGCCACTAGTTAGACCAATTAAGCCATATTCCACGGTTCATTAGACAAAACACAACTCGTCAACAACGTAATTACAAAGTTCATTTCCTAACGGAAAGCCGAGCATAATCTAACTCTAACGTTTAGTTAAATTTCATTTTTATGGTTTTGAAACCTTTTGATTTCAAAATCATTGTATTCACGGTTTCTACTTTCTACCATACCCATTGTAAACGGTTTCAAACCAGCAACTGTAGAAAAATGCTCCTAACCGTGAACTTTACAGTTAATTGAATGGATATACTGTTTGATTTACCACAGTTGAAGAATAAAAATTCCAACAATGTGCCTTGCGTTGGATATACACGGCTTACAAGATTCTTTCTTACAAGAAATTTGATAAAAGTGCACATTATAACTGTCGTTGAACAGACTACCCAATTTTGAGTTTGCGACTACCAATGTTCAACCCCTCATTCCATTTTAAGAATAATGGACGTGGATTTAACCTCCTACATCTAAGGATTGAACGCCCCTGCTCGCTATCTCTCACCAACTTCCAGAACAGCTTTAGCCAGTTGTTTTGTTCACTACTAGTGCTCGCTAAACAGTAACTGAAAGCAGTAGCATAATATATTTGTTTAAATATACTAATGTCGTTCATAATCCAAAACTGAAATAACATCAGTACTAGAGTCACAATCGTCTCCCTTTTAGATGTTGAACATGGCAAGTATCAATCTGCAAAATTTTGCATACTATGTTACATTTACTTTTATATTTGCTAATCTATGTATAAATAAAATTAATAATTTTACGCTAATCATTAGAACGGTCTGACAATTTTCTCACAAACAACACGTGATCTATTTGTAGATCGTATTTCGAATATGTAAGGACAATAATTGACATGTACATCTGTTACGTATCTGCAAATTTTTTTCGAACTCAAATATCCAACATATAAGTTTTAAAATAAATATTGGAAGTTATTAGCGCACATTTAACTGCCCATTTCAACAAGTTAAAGAGTCACCAAAAGAAAATCAGGGTAAAAATATGTTTGTAAATATAAAATATTAAGACTTATCTTTTTTTTTAACTATAATTTGTTTTGACGAGATTTACTAGTTATGCCTTTTTGAAGCATGATAACATAAAAACCTAAAAAAAAAATAACTGGAAAATTTTCCTTATGCCAAAATTGCTTCTTAGAAAAAAGAAGTATTTTGAGTGTCACATTTTGTGACAACTAACCATTAACTTGATTTTACTTTGCAGTTATGTACAGGAAAACGCCCATTCTAAAATGAAGCTAAAAGAATAAAGTTTCAAAATTGATAAAAACTTTCCTCTTTAAAAAAAAATTTTTGGATACTTTTTTTAAAGATATTTTTAGACCGTTGATTTTAAACAAGGTAATATTTAATCCTGGAAACTATTTTTTCAAAAGAAAAAAAGGCAATAATATATTTCCTTTTCGTTTAAAAGGTTTTACGGACTAAAGTGTTTATAAAAACTCATTAGTGTCTAAGTTGTAATTTTAAAATTCAATAAGATTGAGAGCGCAATTTTTTTTTTTTTTTTTTTTTTTTTTTTTTTTTTTTTTTTTTTNTTTTTTTTTTTTTTTTGCGCTTCCTAAGAAATTTTTCACCAAAACATCGATTGCTTTATTAATCTTATTGGTTTGCTTCAAAGAATTTAATTATTATTATTGTTATTATTTAAAAGGAAAGGAACAAAAGACCTTAAATAGGCTAACTAATCAGTTCAAACAATCTATATCTACGTATACAATAAAATAAATTTGTGTGCGTCTGTATAGTTTATTTTATAACCATCATTAAGCAGCCGATCCAATTTTTTGGGTTTATGATTGCTAATGTTCAACTCCGTAGCCTTGTAATTTTGAACACAATCCAGAAGACAAGGGAACTCTTACATTGAGAGAAATTTTGCCTTCGTGGAGGACTTTTTGATGGAACTCACCCACTTTTGGGTTACAAGGAGAGGCAATCCATGAAAACCTCTCACGGTTAGCTTGACGGCAAGGGGACTCAAATCCATGATCCATCTACTACTGAGGATATTTTACGTCAACACTGTGGTCGTTGGAAACCGGATGCGGGATTCGTATCGACCAGCTTTCGCTGGGATTCGAACCCGGTTCACCTCATTGGAAGGCGAATGCTCTATCCCCTATCACTCTTTTTTTCATTGAATTAACGGAAGCAATTGCTACAAAATAAATTATAGACGACTCGGTTTTGTTAAATACTTTAAAGATAACATTAAAGATATTTTTAAGCTTATAACTTTAATTTAAAAAGTTCTTCATTGTGTATAAACACACTTTTTTGTGTCCCAAAAAGTCGAGAAGAGCCACCTTCTGAAAAATCTGGTACCAATAATTTGGTCAGAAAAGCTACCAAAATTAGAGATGTTGCGTACTTTCTATACTTACTGAATCTATAGCAATTCCTTGGGTCATTTTCAAGTGACTTATACTTTTGATGCCGAATGATTTCAAGTAATTTAAATTACTCAAATAAAATTCCAAATAACATTTTTAAGCATTCAAATTAATTTATTATTTGTTTTTAGAAAATGCAGATATATAGAAATTAGGGTTTTAAAAATAATGTCCGTGAAATACCTTTTTAATACCATATATAAAGATAAATTGTTACGTTTACTCTTCTTTACCGCTCATATTACTGCAATTAGAACAATTGTCAATTAAAAATAATTTTAATTTATCGTGTTGTGAAAATTGGGCTACATATAATGTACAGCTCAGCTTATGTTATGTATAGTTTTAAAATTACTTCTGTTGAGTTGGCAAAAATGGGTTCCTTGACTCACAGAGTGGTCTATTTTTAGGTAATTTATACTTTTTAAAAATAATCGTTATATTCGTTGTACTCTAACAAAATTTGACAAGGCAGAGATGTTTCATTCACTTTCCCCTCTGTTACTATACAGCATAATTGTTTCGAATTTGTTGTTTTAATTTTCATTTGAATTTTTATGGTGAGATCAAATCATGTTTCTTCGTTCTTTATAAACATTTCTTCCTTTCAATTGAGCCTGTCTTAGTCAATTGATTCGCAATTTCTTTTTCCACTCTGTTACTCAGTCCATTTTGCTACCATGTTACATTAAAAAATTAAGTTCATTAAGTACTAGACAGGTAACAATGCTTGTTTGAGTAAAATACTGTAATATGCAATGCAAGAAAATTTAAAATTAAATTGTAGTGGCAACTTCACCTTCTCATGCTTTCATTTTTTTTTCGTTATTTTCCCATATAATTTAACAAAAAGCAAGGCAATTTTAGTTGTTTACAGTAAATTTGACTTGAGTGTAAATTGTTCACTGTTTTACTGTTAGCTCTTTTTTAATTTATTTATTTAAGCACTTAGGAACGTTGGTAACAGAGGGTAACGTGATGCAAATTCAGATTAATGCTTTTATTATTATTATTATTATTATTATTATTATTATTATTATTATTATATGCTCGATATCAAAAAAGTGCACTGTCGTTTCAAAATTAATGAACAAGAAACATTCCAAACGTTTTTAAATCCTTATAAACTATACAAGCTTTTGAATTTTTAATATTAGCATTTTGCCGAAGTATTCACGTAAAATGATCGACTCGCTTTATCGAGCATTTACTGTATCGCAAGTTATTGTAACTTTCAACATTGCTTTACAATGTTAAAAGTTACAATATTAGTAAAATTGTAAAATGCCTAACAAAATGTTAAGTTTGCAAAATAAAGCTTAACATTTTGCCAGAATAATAAATAGAAAAGTATTCATAACTGCGCAAAGTTGCATGATTTTTTTCTCATTAGCTGGTTTTATGAATTAAAACCTTTTTAAAAATTATTAATTTAATCGTTAAACTTTCCTTAACACAAATTCTTAGAATAATAGTATTTATCTGACAGAAACAAGCCATTTACACTTAAATAAAAAATGAATCTATAGAATGAGTCATTAGTAAACATTAGAGGATGCCAACTTTCTTTTAGAGTCAATGTATTACGGTTTTCAGTATTCTAAAATTTACGGTTTTCAGTATTAAAAAAAAGAAGAAGAAACAAGAATATTGATGAGAATTATGAAGGCAGGAACTTCATTTAACATTTCTATTCAAACTTGTTGTAGATACTAATTAGTTGTAGAATTTATTTCATTTACACTTATTTAGCAAATTTTTTTTATAATAATTAAATGAATAACCGGCATACCTAAAGAAAATATTACTAAGTAAAGATTAGCCATTTTCAACAGAGGAGAAAAATAGGTGTAATAGTTTTGTTCATATTTCCCCACTTAGATGGCAGCACTACTGAATTTAGTATTTATGAATTTTTTTAATAATATATACTGTTATTATACATTATAATTCAATTGTTAATTATTTATTTGATATTTTACAACATTTTTTTAGATTTTTTATTAAATTAATATGATTAATCGTTTTATTTTTGTTAGTTTTTCTTAAATTTTGATTTTGATTTTTACAGTTAATAGATCAAAAGATTTAAAGTATCAATTAGAAACTGACAAACACTTTAACAAAGATATTTCGTGTAAATCGGGTAGTTAAAATGTAACAATTAATCGAAAAAAATATTGTCTAAGTTTTGAGGTGTTTCGGTGTAAAAATTCACCATGCATTAGGAAACAAATTGGACAATTCTTTTTTAATAAATTTTTCTAAAATTTCACTGCATGTACTACAAGCTACAGTTTTATTTTATGGAAATAAATAATGACATATAGTTATATTTTAAGCTGGTAAGAACAAAAAAAAAATTTTTTTATAATTGAAATTTCCATTCAATTTAAATTTAAATATAACTCTTATACTATATAGTGAGATTTTCAGAATATAATTTGATAATGTGAAAAATGTATGATAATTGTGAAATGACTAGGGTAAAATAATAAATGACTAGAGATGACTAGAGTAAGAGATGACTAGAGTAAGGAATTATATGAAATATGTTTTATAAACAAGGTCAATAGAGAAATGGATAAAGTTGGCTCATTTCTAAAAAAAGAAAAATGAAAAAAATTAAGAATAAATTTTAAATTAAAAATAAACAATTAAAAATTATTAATGATATAAAATTTATCAGAAAACTCTTTTCATAAAGGAAATTTTTTGAACTATTGAAGTTTTATTCCTTCATTTGTGGTCACCTTGTAAGAAGAGGTGGGTTTAGTTTTAGTCTATGACAGTTTTCCAGTATTCCATTCCCCGCTCTAAAGGATAAGAGCCTCAACGAACTGTCCTTATTGCAATTGTGTTTTAGGGGTTCAGAATTCATTATAATGTATTGTCCTTGATGGTTTCAGAACAGGAAAAGTCCACGCAATGTTGGTCAGTTGGGAAGTTCAATGCTAAGGCTAAATGATTACTACCATCATCTGATCTAAATTGTAGCAATGTAGTGTGCTCATTTGCCAGAATTGTTTTCGAATCATCAATAAAGATGAATTTTCGAACCTGACCAAAATCCCATTAGAGTAACTCAAGTGCAACGCTAACAACCAAACCTTAATTGGGGATACCTCATTTGTTTTTCTTAATTAATTAAATTAAATTAATTATTCCTTAATCAATTTAATTAAATTAATTATTTCTTAATTAATTAAATTAAATTAATTATTTCTTAATTAAATTAATTTTTTCTTAATTTATTTCATTAAAAACTGCAAAAATGTCATTATGAAACTTCACGCACTAGAGATGACTTCGAGTTTAATTTATTAGGTCCGAGCCTGAAAGATTTTAAACTGAGCCCACTCGAGCTGAGGCCTCTTAACGCCCGTGTCTGCCCGAGCAAGAATTATTCATCAGATAAAAATCGTATTTTGTAGTCTCACCACTCAGCCCTTGAGGTCTAATCAAGGAAATTAGTCATTGAAACATTTTTTTATCACTAACTTGTAAAACGAATCAAAGAAAAAAATCTGGAATTGAATGTGAAAGAGAAATGTCGAAGAATTGTAAACAACAGCAAATATTCAAGTTTTTATTATTATTTTTTTTTTATGGTGTGAGAGATTCCCAATCAAAAACCTTCTTTTAAGGCCATTCAGTTTAAGATTTTTCTTTATTTCGCTCTTCTTCATCTACTGCATTATCATTACACATATTATTAATAACCGACGTTGCATAGCCGACCCAATTATGAGTTACGACTATCAATACTCAATTCCGTAGTCTAGTAATTTTAAACCAAACCCAGAAGATAAGGAGGAACCTACGTGAAGGAGACTTTGATGGAATTAACCCGCATTTGCGATACATGGAAAAACGAATGACTCCCTCGATTAACCCGAGGGTGAGGGGATTTTAACCTATGATTCATATATCACCGAGAGTATTTGACATCAACAATGTGGAGTGCGAGTAAGGATAATTTTGTATAAATAAAGAAACATTTTGGAAAATGAATAAAAAATATATTAATAGAATTTTGGAAACTTCTAAAGAATGAATAGAAACTGCATTTTCTACATTTATTTCAAACGATTACAAAGAATATTTACATAATTACGAACAAGACAATCAGTATCGAGTATTGATTATATTATCTATGTACAAAATACAATGAATGACTAAGGCTTTGTTTTGAATATGAATCTAAAAGTATATCATAAAAGTGAAAGTGCATATATGTTTTAACTTAATTTTCTAAATTTTCTGTTGAAACAAAGCCATATGAATAGCATGTCTTCAAAACTCTTTTAACTACAGCTCTGCATTATTTTAAGCATTATCTTTTAATGTAGTTAATAAAAGTAAACTATGTAGTTAATAAAAGTAAACTATGTAGTTAATAAAAGTGAATTATGTAGTTAATAGAAGTAAACTATCATTAACTTAGAAATGAATTATACAAAGTCAATAAAATTTCTTAGCACAGATATTAGTGCATATCAGCATTTACCAATTGAAATCTAAATTTTGATGAAGATTCGCTTTTATATGTAAAATAGTACCATTACGTCCTCTTCATAACTAAATGTATTGACTTTGCAAAATTTCAATCAAAGTTGATGGCAAGAAAATACGTGATCATTATGATGTATTTGTTAATCCACAAATTGTACTTTTTTGCGTGCCAGATGTCAACTCTCTTACAATGTTGTTTCATAGTCTAAATGTCAACTTCTCTGGAAAAAAAACGGTGTCTCATTATATATCTTTAAACTCAAAGTTCCTAATGAGTAAAAGTCGCCAGCGACTTTCTTTTCTAATTATATAAATCTATGCAAATTGGCGATGACTCTGTTGGCTTCTGCATCACTCATTCCTGGTGGTAGGTGCAATACATGATCAGCTCGTGCAGAGGAAGATTGCATTGGAGGTGGAACTGCATGCGATCTGAAGTAGTTGCTGGCTGCAGCTTGCATTTGGTTAGGAGACTGGGATGCCAAATAGCTGCTCAAAGAACCTTGCTGCATTTGTTGTGAGGATTGGGATCCCATAAAACTATTCAAGGATTCTTGCATCGGCTGTGGTTGGGAGGGAATAAAACTGCTTGCTGATCCTTGCATCTGTTGTGGTTGGGATCCTGCGAAGCTGTTCATTGAGCCTTGCATCTGTTGTGGTTGGGATCCTGCGAAACTATTCATTGAGCCTTGCATCTGTAGTGGTTGGGAACCCAAGAAGCTGTTCATTGAGCCTTGCATTTGTTGAGACGGCTGCTGTCCTCCCATATAAGACATGCCCTGTTGTTGTTGGGCTGAGTGTCCTTGAAACATATTTCCTTGATTGACTTGGCGAGGAACAAAGTGTTTTGGGGGAGGCATTGCACTGGAATACTATGAAATAAAACATAGTTAAATTATGAAAAGAGTTTTGAATTAGAGATAGATAAATAATTCGCGAAAGTAAAATAATAAGATAACAAATAATAGAAAATAATAAGTCAATAAGAAATTGAAAATAATAACAAAATTACAATCCCAAATACAAAATAAGTTATAAATAATATATTTCTCATACCTAAGTTTCCAGAAATTTTAAATATTCGCATTATGTTTTACGATATAAACTGTAATTTTTTAAAATCCTGTTTACACAGTTGAGTTCTTAAATGAAACTGTATGTCCACAAAATCAACACAAACTCTTTTTATTTTTTAACTAAGTACTTTGGATTTAGATCAAAGTTTTCGGTATTTTTCTAAGACAAAAGTCTGTTTTAAGATATTCTTCTTAAAAAAACTTTTTGGTTTCTATGTGAATTATTTTAATGTCTTTAGCTGGTGTTGTTACGAATCAATTTTTTTTAGATTTTCAATAAAACCTACTATGATTACCCTATTTTATGGCTCAGTTGTATTTCTTTTCAAAATATTATGCGTTGTTTATGTTTGTTCCCTTTTTGATATCCAAATACCTCTATTAGCAAATGGAAAGGAAATCGGTTAGTTAAAATAGAACACTGACATTAATTAAACCTATTTTGCAAGTAAGAATATTTTTTCTATATTGTAGCTTATTCAATTATAAAATCTATGATCATCAGGTTAAAATTAATTATATGGATAAAAATTTATGAAAACAATTTTATAAAACTAGTATATTTTTCATTTTCTTTAATTAGTTTTAATTACAACATCTTAGAGTGAAATTCACCGGTGGAAATATTTTTCATGCGTAAAAAACTAAATTGTTTTAATTTCCAATGATGCATGCTTAAAAAAATTACATTAACAGTACGGAATTTATAATTATATGTTTACAAGGAAGCTATCATACATTACATCATTGCAAGGAAGCTCACTATATTAAGAAATAAATTTAAAATAATGAATAAATTTGATAATTAATAAAGTTAAATTAAATAACGTTTAAATAAACTTTAATAAAGATACATAAGCAAACTACATAAATCTTTTCTAAAAGTTCTTTTAATTTTTTTTCTTCCATTTTTAGCATACAGAATATCATTTTATAACTGTTTACAAATTCAACTTTTGTTAAGCGAATTTTTATAAGTGTAATTGCAAATATTATCTTTAACTTTACAGACAAAGAAATGAAACTTATCACTCCTGATTTCCTCTTTTATATAGCTTGATATGAGTTTAGCTAAATGAGCTGATGTTATTTCATTTTATGACAGCTGATGTTTAGCTGATGTTATTTCATTTGTATTTCGCTTATCTATTGTTGTTATACACATTCTTTCTTTAAATTCATATTTAGGCATAATAAGCTTGACTCAATTAATCGAATACATCAATTCAAAAAACATCAAACAATCAATTCATCAACTCATCTAGTATAAATTTACAGTTGTCGTTAATATGAACTTAAAGCTCAAAAAGATTCTCAATTTTTTTGAGATCAATCAGTACTTTTGTATTTTTTTACTATTTTTTTTAAAATAAAAAATAAAAGAAATAATTCACTATTTATTATCCATTCTTCTATTTTACAAGCAGTAAATTATTGTTGTTCATTTGTTGTATTATGAGGTTACGTTTCACCAGCGAAGACTTCTGTTACCATAATTAAAATTTTCCTTTTCTGAAAAAATAAAAAGTTGCGAAGTGCTCTACCTCTTTTAATCCATGGATTTTGAACATTTTTCAAAAATAAAGTCACAAATTATGCACTTTTAGTATTTAAATAAAATAGTTAAAACATAAAAAAATAAAAGGTTATTAAAATTTGGTGAAGGCAAGTTTGGCAAGATTTAAAAACTCAAAAATAGATCAATTGCCAGATAAATCGCATTTCTTCTCCTCTCAGATTTATTTGGGGCTGAAACAGATTTCGTTGTTTTAGTCTTTCCACAGTTTCCGTTGTTTTAGTCAATTCTATTACTGATTCCACAAGTTTTGATAATTTCTTTACTCAAGTATTGCATTTCTAACTTTAGTCTGCAATTTTTCTTAGCTTTTTATCAAGGGCTCTAAAAATATATGTTAAGGGGGGAGATTAAATAACCCCCTGTCTATTCTTTTACCTGTCGGGATTGATCCGCTGCTAGAAAAGCAGTTGCTTGCGCAGCATCTTCAGCTGCTAACATCTGCATTGCTTCACTTTGTGCTGCTAAAATATTCTTCGCCTCAGAAGCTGCCAAAAGTTTCTTGGCTTCTAATATTTTTCTAGCTCTCCTGGCAGCTAAGAGCTGTTGGTTGAGTTGTGCCTCAGCAAATAGATGGCCATCGTTAAAGAATTGTGTGGAGGGAGACATTAGAAGTGGTGCTCTGGCTGCAAGTAATGAACTCTCTTGGTTGAGTAGGAGGTCGTTGTCCATTAAGGGAACATTCATTGAACTTAATGCACTAGCATCTAGAATGTCGTCTTGCAACAAGGCAGGATGACCAATAGCCATGTCGAGGGGAAACCTGTGAAAAAATAGAATATTGCAATTTTCTAGTTTAGTCTTAGTGTGGTCTTAGCCTCTACCTTACCGGGTATTTAAGAAACAATTTTGATATTAACTCCAAATAAAGCACTCCAATATTCCATTCTGTTTGTATTAATATTGTTTTTGAAACAATTGTTACATTTTATATCAATATATACGGAAATAAGGATTGAGACTTAAAATCAAACATTCTAACAAATAACCCAACATTGCAGTTTTGGTTTCAATAAACAACTGTACCCATCTTATTAAGTAAAATTAATAACATAAAGTATCATATTGTGATTTAGGTTGAGTTTTATTAAAAATATTTTTTAATTTTTTTTTAATTTGTTTTACGTTTCTTATTCTTTAACTATTAATTTCCATAAATGCAACGAATCATTTATTGAAAAAAGACGAGCAAAACATTTTAACCGTTAAATACCAAAACGTTATTTTTTGAAATTATGGAGTCAGTAATTAGTGTGAAGAAACAATTAAAATGAAGAAGGGATCCGCAAAAAATAATCGTTCAAGATGGAATCTACGTAACTGTAGCATAATTTTTTACGGCATTTTTCCTAAGCATGCTTTTTTTTTAAAATTACGATAATGCTTTAAAATTTTCATCGATACAGAAATTAAATAACGTATTGTGTCTGAAAAAATAATTTTATATTCTGAAAGACAGAACATATAAATTTTAAAATTTGGGTGAGAAAAAAATCGTCAATGTGAATTAAAGATATAATTACATTTTGTCTAATTCTGCCAGATTCAGATTACTTCATAAATTATTAGTTAAACATACATATTACGTTTAAATAAACTTCATTTTACTGGTATATTGACCGGTATACTTTACTGGTAAACTCACATACCTGGCGTTTGCAAACCTTGGATGATGATAACGGGGTCCTCCAATAAGCGCGCTCATAAATTGACGACCAGCATGCCCAAGTTTTCCTCGGTGATTGAACAATTTAGCCAATATTCCTGTGGCTAAAAGTAATTCTATAGCATGATTACCTCGGTGCTTATAGCCACCACCCATTAATCCTTGAGATTGAACACTGTTCAGTGCCATAAATAGAACGAGAGCAGCTACGCTGGTCTTCATAACTTTTTTGTCCTTCATTGTGCTTTAATTGTCTGGAAAAGAAATAATATCGTATAATCCGAAAAAGCAATATATTAACATATGATTCCAAACTTTAGTGCGGTAATTATTGTAAAAGATAGACTTAATTTACAATTTTCTTGAAGTGTAAGAAAAGTTCAAATAACCTGTAAATCCCTATTAGTTCATTGAAGTTGTCATTTTAAGTTGTCCTTTTAAGAGTTCTGTGCTTTAAGATTGAAAATTCCATTTCATCGATATAAAAAAAAATAGAAAGATTTTTGTTTTTAGTTTTCAATTTGTAAACGTCCCTTCCTGCCATTCCAGCAACATTTTTTAAAAGGTGTTCACAATCTCATTGAAAATTTGACTTTTGCACCAAACCATTAAAGTTATAAACACAAGAGTTATTTTCATTAGCATGAATGAAACTGATAAAAAAAAACTATTCAGTGGGGCTATTCGGGGCACATTAGAAATGGAAAGCTTTGTCCCAAATCAAAGACAGACTCTTTTTCATTGTTGGATGATATTTTGCGTTCTAAGACAGAACTGATCGTGTAATTTTCAGTTTCGTTTATCAGAATTGGTCGTCAATCATACGATTTAACGCCGTATGCTCTTTTTCTTGTTATTATTTTCAATTCCACAGTTAATGCTTACAAATCTATAACCATCTTAAAAGCGGTAAGTGGTTTTAGGTCCCTAATTCTACCTAATTAAGCTCTATATCAAAAACTTTCAGCCTCGTCTGTACAAAAGGGCCCCTGAATTTTTTTTTAAATAATTGCATCTGTGTCAGCAGCCGGGGAGACCATTCCTCGATATTTCTACTCCTTAAACAATCTTATACTGCAGACGTTGAATAACTTTCAATCAAACACCTGTTATATGTATGCACAGTAAAAAAAATACAAAAAGGACAGAAAGAGTGCTCCTCACACTATTATATTGATATAATTTGCAATACTATATTAGAAAGCACTCCTTTTGCGCATATAATCATGTGAGACGATGAAGAGATTATATCTATATTTCTTCACCCGGATTTTTATAATTTTTTTTTTCAAATAATTTTTTTAATAATTCTGTAATTTATTTTTTTTCTATGTTTCTCTTAATTTTGAACTATATATATATATATATATATATAATATATATTATATATAGTGTGAATCATTAGACACCGTGTTCATGGGAAAATTAACATTTGGACATGTTTGATCTCTTACTCTCTGATTTGATAAGTTACTCTTCTGGAATACATATTTTTACAAATTGCAATTCTTTACAAATTTGTTACATTTAATGATGGAGAATGATATGGAGGTTAATTTAGATAAAGAGAAGAAGGTTGCCTAATCTCTCTAACGGTTGTTGATAAGTGAAACATCTTCAGGTATTCCAAATGTAAATGACAAAACTCGTCACGAGGATGCTTCAAAATAATCGAGGCGCGGCAAAATTCCCTCTGAAGAGGAATACTAATGCCTACATCGTGCATTAAGTTGTTTTAAGTATACTTAAAGTTTTCTTAACAACCCGGCAATAAGCAGTCGAATTTCTCGACCTTGACTTCAAGGATGAGGGAAGATGATTTCTCCCTTAAACGCTCCAATTCGACGAAATGTTCCAAATCCATATGAAAACCCTCTAATGCCACCAATTCAAACCAACTCGTTTCAAATCCTTCAAGAACTATCCCAATAATTTAAATTAAAAGTTTTGTAAACCTAATGGGCCGACCAGTTTCAAGTTCACCTATAATTTCTAGCACAGTTATTTAAATCGTAAGTCTTATAAAACTGAAGGATTTTAAATGTACTTATTTCTTGAGTAACCAATCAGTTTCAAGAAATGCTATACTTTCTACTATATTGATTTAAATTACAATTCTTTTAAAATTAAGGAATTTTAGACGTACTTATTTCCTAGATAGCAGACCTGATTCAAGAACTGCTAATAACTTATACCATAATCATTTAAATTGAAATTTCGCTAAACTAAAGATTTTAGATGCAAGTATTTCTTTCATAACCGATCAGTTAGAATGCATGCTATCATTTCTATCTCAATCGGAAGTTTTGTTGACAAAATGTAATATGATAAGTTCTTTCAAACTAAAACTCAATGTAAACAAAAACTTTCAATTGTTGCAACAAAATTAAAAGTTTTGTTAAGCTAAAGGAATTTAATGTACGTATTGCCTGTATAAACTGAATTTTCCTAGATAATCTGAAGCAACTATTTTCAAAACATCTACCTTACTGATTTTTTAGGTTGGAACTTAATTAAAAGCAGAAACCTCGAGCCTTGTTTAAAAGTAAAAAAAGGCATGAAAAATGCTAATTTTTCTAAGCTTGATATTCGATTTTAAAGATCTGAAAATTAATGTAAATTAAATCGAACAAAAACAAATAACAAAAGTGCCATTAAAATAAAATAAAAATTTCAAATGATTTCGAACATTATTACAAAAACATTTAATATTATGCATAATGTTATTTAAAAAAGAGAACCCAGTAAGAACTCAGTTGCTAATCCAATGAATTAAAAGTTTAATAAAATGGTGAATACTGGTGATTCGCTTTTCCTACAGTAATTTTCATTAATATTACAATAATTAGCAAATAATTTATAAAAATTAAACTAAATAATTAATTAATTTAGCTTTCGTTAAATGAATCAGTAACTGCATAAATTTAATTATCAAACGAAAATTTTACTCTCTCAAAATTGATACTATTTATTGTTTGAACAATTTATTGTTAAATATAAAAAGATAGAGTTAAACCAGTGTTTCCCAAACTGTGGTATGCGTACCCCCAGGGGTACTGGAACAACTTAGCAGGGGTACGCGTTCTTATGCGAAATATCTTGCAACAAAGTAAAATTACAAAAAATTTAATTTCAAAACAAAGCTGGCCACGAAAATTTACGATTACGTATTTTTCTATTGGCTATTTTTTGCAAAGTTAAGAGTTAATAATTAGTGGTGTCAACAGCCAGTTGTGATTTTTAACTTTTGTGCAATTTTTTTATAGTAAAGGTTTGTAAAAAATTCTACTTATTTTGATTATTTTTAAAAAATAAAATTTTTTTCCTGTTATCACAGCAAAAACAATATCATCCTTCTCACTGATGCAAATAAACTTATTAACACAATTTTGCACCAAGAAAGAAAAATAAACATAATTTAAAAATATACATTAGCTTATTTATTAGTGGTACACAGCGTTACGAAAAATTTAGAAAGGGTACACGAAAGTCATAAGTTTGAGAAACACTGGGTTAAACCAAATACTTTAACACTTAAATCTTAGATATTTCGAGCGAAGTGAATACAACTCATGTAATATAAAATAATGGTCTAACACATTTTTTTAACTTTATCGATACATTCTAATTAGACAAAAAAACTGATTGAATCCTCAAACTAATTCTATCTGTAAGTAGTTGGATTCCATCAACAAGAAATTTATAAGTATTATAACGGTATTTGCCCTCAAATTATTAATTCATCAAGTAATGGTATTTTTATTCTGTTCAATTCGATTACTTAGGTATTTAATAAACATTGTTAAGGTTATCTCCAAACTATTTTTAATCAGTTTCATTTAAATCTTAATATTGCAATTTAAATATTAATTAAAGTAACGATGTTATACGAAATTGAACGGTTAAAACTAAAAATGTCGTTCCTTTTATTATTAAGTAGTTCTGTGATGTTAATTTATTAAGCAATATTTTATGATAAACATAAGCATTATTATAAACACAGCTTAATATTCATTATACAATGGCTTTAAATAAGTTATGTATATATTTAAAGTTGATTTTCAGTAAAATTGTGTACAATCAACATGAGCAATTAAAAAATTTTTGTAAAATAATTATTTAAGACTGAAAAAAAATACTGAGATCTAACTTTTCGCACTAATGCTAAATTATCTCTTTATCGAAAAATATTAAATGAGAATTAAATAAGCAGTTTTTGAATGAAATTACAATAGTAAATGTGATATGCTTAGGTTTAAATTTTATTCCAATAAAATCGGAAACTGAATCTGCACGACCAAAACTGCTTTGATAGAGTGAAACATTCTGGACATTTCTTAACTGAATACTTTTTAATTTTGATTTATAAATACTGCCGAAATTTCCTAATGAGCTTTCAGAAGAAAGCGGTAATTTTTTCGGAAAAATAATATTGTAAAAATTAAAACTACTTATTTTTTTTTTAAAGTACACATAAAGAAAAACTCTGGAAAATTACCATACTGTAATGGTATTTCCGGCAAAAAAAAGCCCCATAAAGCAGATTAATAAAACCAGCATGTATACTATAAAGAAAAATCCTGAAATGATTCTAAATATATGGGGCAGCTACTGTGCATGTAGTTTTCAAATACGTATCTTAACATGTTGGAAACCTCTTGTGGAGCTAAGCTACCAACAATGTCAACCCTCATCTATTAAAGAGCATCTCAAGACACAAGTAAAATCGAATTAACATGTCTTATATATTAGAGAATTGGAATTTAATAGTTGTAGCGGTAACTAAGCTATATTATTCCCCCTCCAGAATTTTATCTGTGATAGAATTCGATGAATGGATTCCATTTGTTGATTCATTGCTGCTTTGTAAGAGGCCGGGAGAACTGTATCACCGGGCTTTGAGTGTTGGTCATGAGAGCTGGATAAAGATCACGGTTGTGGGCGTGATTGCTCTTGTGTTTCGAATAGCTGTCGAGTGCGCACAACTGCATAATAATATTTTATCTAATTAAGATGAAAACTAATGTTTATCGAATTTATTGCATAAAAAAATTACGGAAATGTAAGCATAGCGTAACAATAGTAGCTTACCGGGAAAAAAATTTGTCTTATTTTAATATTCTGTCAGTCATCCTTTTTTAGTATGCAGTTGAAATCCCTTTTTTTTTCAAGGGGTCAACTTTAAAGTTCAATGTGTTGAAAGTTTATGAGACTGATATCATGAACAATCATACACCCAATTCCTTTTCGATGA